CCAACCACAAAAACACCCACATCAGCTCCGCAACCAACAAAGTAGGGTGCGCGGGCGCAGTTGGAGAAATCGACGGAAGCCTGGCAAACGATGGTTGGGTCCTAAAACAGAAAATATAGATATAAATAACAGAATATAATTTAACAATTCATTAACGCAATCTAATTATAAATATTTTTATCTATAAACTATAAATTAACTATAAATATTATTATAAATCTATTATTATCAATTAAAAGATTCAAAATGATCTCCCCACCTTCTGCGTGGCGTTGTGGAAAGCGTCCTGGCATTGGGCGTACATGTCTTTTTGGGACTTCTGGATCTGCAGAATACAGTCCCAGTTTTGGGTGGTTTCTGGAAGAGTTGATTTCTTTCTATCTCTCTCAGTCTCTCTTTCTATCTCTCACTCTCGCTCTCTCACTCTCCAAAAACCCACGCAAAAATCCGCCGTTGCACTGAAACTCGAGCTCTCGCATCACGCCAATGTACCGCCACGCGTCGCGCAGGCTCTGCCCCTTGGAGAGGAACTTTGTCGGCTGCATACACGCCCTAAACCTCTTCTCAAAAAAGCCATATTTTGATCTATTTGTATACATTAAAATCTTGTCATTTTAAATCTCCGACAGCCGCAAAACCTACATGTAGGACGAGCCAAGGCATTGTTGGAAATAGGTGCGCGCCGTGCAGAGCTTCAGAATGCCGGAGATGCCCTGAAAACGATGCATTGAACAATTATAATTCCATAATTTCTTTATTATTTGAATTTAGATTTATATTTATAGTATTATTTTACAAATGTTTTTGGAATGGAGCTTTGGAAGGTTTTTCTCGAAGCGCCAAAAAATTACACAGGTCGCGAATCGAACCCGGGCTTTACACCTGATAAAACCAGCTCGCAACCAATTCCCCCATGGCTTCAAAAGCTTTATAATAGGCTTGACTAACGATTAAATAGATTTTCGGAGCTTTGGCATTGACGGGGGTAGGGGCCGATTACTAGCCGAAACGTTGACTAGTAAAAAAATTGCTCCCAAGCACTACCCCGAGGAATTTTGGTCCTAATTAACCCAAAAGTCGATACTCTCCTAACCCCCCCCCCCCCGTTAATGCAAAACCACCTAACATGACTTCTTTTAAACCGATCTTGAAGCCTGACCTGCTCGTAGAAGCCCTGAATGAGGTGGATGAGAACGGTGGGGTTGGTCCAGTCGGCATCACTCGTAATGTTCAGATACCAATTGAAACTGTTCTGGCACTGGAGCAGCTGCTTGTCGATGCACACTTGGGCGTCGTTTGAGCCGAGATGCGCCTGCATGAACTCCTCGGGCAGGTCGGCCGGCTCGACGAAGCTGATCGACTCGGGCAGGGCCAAGCATAACGGCGCTGCCAAAGTGATTTATTGTTTTTATGATTGGTAATTGACGAAAAAGAAAAAATATAAGCTGAAAACGCGCAATGACTAGCGTGTAAGTTGGTTTGAGGCGTTGCCAGGAATGGCCTACGCCTCGCTCCCTTGTACACCCCAAAATTGTGCGTTCATTGCGTTTGTATGTTCACGAATTTTTGGTTTTAGACGAGTTTTTCTCAGGCTTTACTTTTAAGTTTACTATAAGCTTTACTTTTTAAACCAACTATTCACGGTTTATTTCGGATTTTCCTTATGGAGGTCACGATTGGCCTTTAAAATGGATTCAAACGATACCTTTTCCAACCAAAAGGATTTTAACAAATTAACCCCCACTAAAAATCAATACCTGCGACGAGAAGCAGTAGAAGGTGTTTCATGGCCGTCGACAGGGTGCGGTGTTTCCAACAGTCAAAAAGACAGGGGCCACTCCACGCCCTCACCTCGTAAATTATCAGCTCTTCCCTCCCCATTACGGGGTGCCACGACTTCAAAACTGATATCACCCCCGGGCTTCTGTTTCTTCTCTACCATTTCAGAGGCGGGGGCTACCGAAAAATCGGAATAGGAAAATTACAGGGCTTTAGCTTTTTAATTTTCTGAATATTCAGTTTAACTATAGAAAACTGCAATTTTCTATTTAAAGGAGAGTGCTTATCGCGGCGATGGATGCATTAAGCAAGTATCTGCACATTCACAAGAAATTTTCGAAACTTTATTCGCTAAAATCGCAAGTTTTTAATGTCCGTAAGGATCCGTCTTGCAGACGAACGCCTCGTAGTTGTGCCCATTGTTCGTCGGGGGTTCATCTGAAATTTCATATTGTATATTTTTATATTAATGATAAGATTTAATATATTGTAATTGAAAAATCTACTTTATTTTGACAACCTACTCGAGATAAACCAGGATGAATCGTGGCACGCGCCGCAGCCACTGCCCCGTTGGTGGGCGGCCATCTGAAAGTTGTTGTCATAATCTGAGTTTCTGAATCGTCCCCAAAAAATCTCTGCTAGCTTGCCAGCGAGAGAAGGAGGCAGTTTTTTCTTATTAAAAGTAGGTTCTCTCGTCCAAAACATGAAGATTCTACAAAATTTTGAGTAAAAATACAAAGATATAGATTTTTCGACAAAAGTGGCTAATCTAAAAAATCTCAAATTTTGAATATTTTCTGTTTTTAAGGGTAGTTTTGTTACGTTAAATATAGCTACTGCGAAAGAGCAAAAATAGCCTTTAAATACTAACCACAACAGTGCTACCATGAGCCCCAGTATGCTCGCACCAGCCGTAGGTGAAATCTTCTGGAGTGCCGTCAGTCCACTGGACACCCTCTGTAAGAAATCAAAATGCATCATAAAAAATATAATGGATCGGTATTTACTATAACCCACGGCCCTTATTGTAGATACCGCCCAGCAAGGTCTCGCCCAGCTTCTGTCCATGAGGCCCGGTGCCGCATCGCGACCAGACCAAGCCTAAAGCGAAAGTAAAAGCGGTGTGGTAAAACTACAAACTAGAGATAAAGTTCTGCTCCTCGATCGAGTGGATAGAGGCCAGGTTTCCGTTGCGTACACCTTGGCAATATTTTTGGGAATCTTGGAAGTTGCCGCCGTTGCCTTTCTAAAATGACTTTAACAATATAAAACCTTCAAATAATGTATAAAACCTTCAAAATTTAAGCTTACCGTTAAAACTAGACGCTTTAAATATATCTTATCAGAAATAGGTTTCGCTTAAGAAAGTTTGCTTTTGACAGGTTTAAATCTTAAATGCCTCAATGTGACGAACTTCTAGCCTCTCTAAGCTTCAAATTGCCGATCAGAAACCGTTTCATAACCCACGTAATAGCAAGTGTTCGTGTAGTTGAACAACTGCCAGCCGTCGGGGCAGCCTAAAACAAGCATTAATTATCGATAACAAAATTTTTAACGAATTCTGCGCCACAATAACTCGCCGAACTTGACGGAGCAGGCATAGTCGTACTCCTGCGTGCAGTCCACATCCTCCCATTGCTGCGTCGTCACGTCCACCACGGCGCACAGCCCGTTGCCAGCAGGGGCTGAATGAAAAATGAAGCCACTTACAAACACTGGTTTTAAAAGAAGCATAAAAATTGAGGTAATTTCTACTTACTCGTCCCATTCGACCAAGCCCTGTAATCGTAAATCGACGCGTCCGTCCAGCCCCAATCTTGCGTCTGCTGCGTCTTCCGCGACAGCCCGATGAAGAACTTTTTCGTGGTGATGCCTACAAACCATCAATCTCCAAGGGATTACGTTCTCCTTTTTACGGGAAACTGTTATCAAATATTTCTAAAGACCTAAAAGTTTCACGTTTTTTTAACCCTTTTTTCATACATTTTTGGCCGAAAAGTATAACTTTTTCGAAATTTGGAGTTTTTTTAAAGAAATTTTCTTGTCTCAAACAGCCGCAACTTGCTATTAAAATTGTTTTTAACCTTAAGTTTTCAGCGCCTACGTAAATATGCAAAGGCAAGGGGCAAATTGAAATATAGGCAAAATTTACGCTCCCCCCGCTTACAAAACAGAACCGGAAATTACAAGTTAAAACCTACGAGCCTGGGCATACGAGGCGACCAGCGAGTTCTCGAAAACGTTGTGAATCGACGCCAGATGGCCGCCGGCTTTCTGGCAGGCCGCCTCGGCGTCGGCAAACAAAGAAGTGCTGCCTGAAAAGAAGTAAGACTAATAAGACGAAAATCAGTATGGTTACCTCCAGTATTAAACGAGACGCACGACTGCAGCGGGGCCACGTAGAAATAGTTGTTGGGGCATTGTGCACGTGCCAACTCGGCGACCAGGCCAAACACGACAAGTTGCAACCAACGGGTCATGCTTTTGTTTCGTGAAAGCACCCAGAAGCCGGCGTACTTTGAAAAATGGTCCAGAACAAAGCAGACTGCGCTTTATCTGCGGTAATGGGCAATAAAATGTGTGCTGCTTTTATGGCCCAAGTGGCCCGGGTGAAGCAGATCCGCGTTCAGAGATTTGGGGGATGATTCCGGAGTCGTTGTTTGCACTTTGAAACTTTGCGGGGGCACCTGTGAAGCATGTAAAATATGATTCCGAGGTCAAAGTGTCATAGTCTGTTCCAATGCCCCCTAGCCGACCAACACCTCTTCCACTATCTCGGCTCCCCCGTGTCTTACAAGTGTGTGAAATATACCAAACTGTTCGCCCTCCTCTGGCGAGGATTTTGGTATACTTTACAGCCACGTTGCACAGCGGGGAGCCGAGATACGGGGAAAAGCCACAGCTTGGCCGACTTTCTCCAATTTTACGTCATAGAGCGAAAAGGCTGAACCACGTTGCGCTCAATTTTATGACCATCATTTCACTTGAAATCTGGCCAAAAAAAGTTCACAATTCTTTGTTTCCTTCTCCACAGCTTCTTCCATTTTGTGTCTCTTCCCCCTTCAATGCTTTATCAGTATCTCTGTAGGCCGTCTCGCGACGTGCAACACTTCAAGCACCACAGCACTTGATTTGCTTTGCAGCAATATTTATTCAGCCCTCCGAGATCCGGGCGAATGCTGGGGGCTATGGCTGCGAGATAGGGGGGATAGAGATCACTCCTTGACGATGGCCTCGGCCTCCTCGATCACCGGGCCACAGTCGGTGCCGGGGCCGCAGTCGGCGCCGCCCGCCATCTTCACGGCGGCCTGGAGCAAGGTGAGATGATGTAACTTGACGCTTCTACCTTGATGCCATGCTGAGAATAGGCGTCGCGGATCTTGCGCAGATCCGTGGAGACGACCTTAGCTTCACGGTTCAGCGGGCGCACGACGGCAAAGTCAAGGACGCCCTGCAAAAGCAGTTATTGTCGATCTCAAAAATCTCCCAACCTTGAGCCCATCGCGCTCGTAGTGCTCCTTGGCCTGCCCCAACTCGGTGCGCATCTTGTCGACGAAAGCGTCACCAATGATGTTCTGAAAGAAAGAGTTAAAAAGTTTCGTGTAAGAATTATGATAGTAGCTTGTAAAGTATACTAAAATATTCCTCAGGCGAAGACGAATATTTTGGTATGCTTTACAGTTCTGTAGCACAAAGGGGACCGATACAAAAGCCAATGCCGGCTTGGCAAACTCTTACCCTCAACTGGCGAACGAGGATATTCTCGCGATCCTCCTCAGGGTTTCGCTGATCCTCTTCGTCCTGGGCTGCAGCCAGTCGCTTGGCGCGAATGTGGCTTGGCTTGTACGACTCCAGGAAACGCTTGACGCGGTTCTCGGGCGTGTCGAGCGCGGCCAGCTCCTTCTCCAGGTACTTCGACGTCTCCTTCACAAAGAGCTAAACTTGTACAGTTTCATAGGAAGGCAACGTATTACCTCTTCAAAAGCCTTGCTCTTGAAGTAAGCAATCTCATCAGGCGTCGGGCCATCCTTAGCGCGCTTGCGGCGGACCGGGGGTTGGGGTGCGTCTGTGTTCAGCTTGAACTTGGTGTACTGGGTGAGCAGCCGGTCGAAGGTGTGCTCGACGGCCTCCTTCACCATCTTCTTGTACGCCTCGTCGTCGGCCACCTATAGGAAGGATACTTATCAACGAAGAAATCGCTGACATTAGGTGACGGTTTGTGCTGGGAGACCATCTCGGAGAAGGGCTCCGCCGTCAGGATGTGCTCGATCGCTTGGACGTCGAAGGCCATGGCTGGAAAAAGCTGGTAAGTATAGTTTACCTATCTAGAATGACTTTTCTTGGCGATAGAGGGTAGGAACGTACATCAAAAGGTTACCCTTGATGAAATTTGAGTCGAAAAAATGGCTCAAGACATGAGATCGAAACTCCAAATTTCACCAGACTTTGTGCCAGAAAATAATCAACCTTCTAACAATCAAACTCACCATAACGCTGGTTGACCACATCGGGGAATGGGAACAGCTCCGGATCCTTCAACATCTCGATTTGCAGATCACGGTCGGCCTGGGACTTCTTCTGCTGGGCGTAGACGAGGCTGCCGAACAGCAGCGAAAGGACGAAGGCGCGCATCTTTTTCGGTGAACCGTTCCAGGTATGTCGGTGTAGGAAATGATCTCATTGTCGACCCCCATCGAGCACTTCCGACCCCACTTCCGGCCCAACTGCCATGCTAATTGCAAAAATACATTGAAATCACCGGCAACTGTATGCGAACTATAAATGTATAGTTGTTTTTATTACTCTGCCCGTGCACGTGATCACAAGTTGGGAAAACAGACAACACAATCGAATCACCGGGCCGATTATTTTTGCTCGTCGTCGCTCATGGCTTCATCGTCAAGCTCGGGCATGCCGAACCTAAAGCAAGGAAAAAGTTTAGGGAAACGAAAGACAATACTGACCTTAATATTGCCGCGCAACCTGTTAATAATGCTAGCTGCTCGCCGCTGACGTGCATCGAGGAGAAGATCAGGACGGTTGCATTCTAAGTTCAAAAAAATTGAAGCTTAGAAAGGCAGATACGTTTTCTCGCGCACTTTCCACCAATTTGATGTATTTTTTTCGTGTGGCGATATCTTGAGACCGGAAGAGGGAGTCGGCCAGCATCAATGTTTCGATTGCGTTTTCCTCGTTTGCTTTGATTACGTGCCTGGAAACAAATTGATGAAAGGTGATGGACACAAAACACACTTGTAGCCATAATACGCGCGGTCAGGATCGTTGGCCATCAAATCGAAGAATTGTTTTAACGCTTTCACTTCGCCTTGTGCCTGCAAAATGTTATCAAGGCTCGACGATCCGCGTTACCTTTGTCTCTGCCAACCGGGCGGCAACTTTCGGGTCTTCAAGTACTTCTTTCAGGGCATGCTTGAAGCCGCTAGATGCGTGCGCCAATACAAATTTGCCCTAAAAATATGTTAAAAAAGTGGAAAGAAATTACCTTTTGCTCCCCGGTAAATTTCTTGCCTTGGCCATCAGCAAAATTGATGAGATGTGTCAAGAATTGTTGATTCAGAAAGCCGCGAGCAGCTATCAAACAGCATTTGATCACCTATGTTCGAATGAACTATGAATTAGATGCAGGAAAAACTTGCCTTAAAATCAACATATTTCAGGAAGGCGGCGGCTAAAGCGTCAAAAAATCGTTTCAAGCCCTTCTCGTGCTGTGATGTGTAATCTTTTCTTTTTCGAGGGATCTAAATAGAAGTTTCCACCAAAATTATCAACCTACCTGCATATCAATCTTTGCTCTGACTAGAGTCATGGCTGGCGTGAGCAAGCAGACATGTGCCAATCCCTCGTGCAGTACAACCGCAGCCACATCAGCTTGTGTGGCCGGATCCAGAGCTTCTTGTAGTCTCTCTAGAAATACAGATCAAAACCAATATGCCCAATCTTACCGATATCCATGAGGTCCCATTCGTCCTTTGTCAATTTGAATTTTCTGCCCGGCTCCAGGTCGAGGGTGTGATATTGTCCTAATTTCACTTGCTCATTCTCTTCCAAATTTTTGCCCTAGAAAGAATAACCGTTTAAGATGGTTTTACAAACCTTCAAGTGCAAGGCCGACTCTCCCGGATCATAGTCGATCGTCTCAATCGCAATGGTTAGCCTCAAGATCACACGTTGCGCCATCGTCGAGCCGGTGTTCGATTCGCTGACCACCTAAAAAAGATAAAAAAATATTAGTTACATTTTTAAGGGCACCTTTCGCATTGTCTTGCTCTGAACAGAGTCGCCGACGCGAATCAAGTTGTACAGGTGCCACATATCTTCAGCTTCTTCCGGTATTAGCGTTACCCATCTTAAGAAAAGTTTTTATAAAGGTTTATAAGCCTACCCAAGCTCCCCTTTGTGTGGTAATCGTCCGAGGAGCTTCATCGTGGCTCCTGGAATAGAGATCTTAATAATATTATTGCAATGAGATGTCAAAAATTAATGAAATTCACAAGTCCGTGTTTGCGCTGAAAAATTGCAAGTTTTTTTGAATATTTTAGGGGTTCTAAATTGTTTTAAAAGCAACAAATTACACAATATTGGCCAAAATCCAAGGCAAAAAGGCTGTGATCTGTCTGCGCCCTCCCAAAATCCCCGCTCTCTCGCCGGTCTGTCCCCCGGAATTCCATCGCGTAGCCCCCAGTCCAGGTCGCGCAAAATCCACCGCAATTATTGATACCGCCGGAAAAAATAATGGTAATGGTAAGCTGTAACCTATATCTCACTTTGCATTTTCAAGGCGTCAATAAAAATATATTTATCAAGCCAAATCAATTCGCTATAGCTGACTAGCACCCAGGGAATCAAGCTCCAGAAAGGCCGATACAAGAATGGGGGAATAAAATAAACGTTTATAAAAATAAAACGATTATAACCAAGAACAAAGTATTGGGAAGTGAATTGCTGCAAAAGGTTGAGCCACTCGGGTTTGGGTTGGGGGGAAGGCGATCAGTAGTTGCGGACGATGCTCTGGAAGTGAGAAAAATTGATATATCCAACCAAAAAAGAATCCATACCTCGACCATAAAATTATTGTTGTATTGCCGGTTGGTGTCTTGGAAGCGGATATCTTTGTTGGGCAGCATCTAGGGGGTTGTATTAAAGTATTTCAGCAGCAAGGAAAACAAATTTTTGTTTTTGCCGTCTATACCTACTGGTTGATAATAAATAATGTTTTTTTTGTAATATTTTTAGTACTTTCGGTTGCTAGAAAGTTATAGAAATTTTTTTAACATTGAAAATTCGAAAATTTTGACCGTTTGTTGGTCATTTTTCATTTTTCATACATTTTTGGCCAAAAACTAAACAATTTTCGAAAGGTTCCTGGGTATTTTTATGAGTTTTTTATATCTAAAAGCTGTAAAGAATTGCTGGGAAATTTATTTCCCCCTGCTAAACGCCCCTCCCCCCGCTAAACGTCCAGTACCTCGACGGTCCTGGTAAAATGACTGCCCGCGCCGGGGCCATCAGTTTTCAGCTCGTCCATATCGCCGCGCCACGATCGCTCGGATTTTGAGTCGATCAACTAAAGTGATGGCTATTGATTCGCTGGATCGGTAATTTCAAGTATTTTAAAGTAATCTACCCTCCCATTCTCGTCCCGCCAATTCCAATTGTCTTCGATCGTCTTTTCGGCGACTCCTAGGAGGGTAACGAATGGTTTTTGTGGGTTACTTTTGACACGGGTGGTTACGAGATCGCCATTATGGTCGTAGTGGGTGGTGGTGTTGTCCTGATTTAGCCAGTAGTCCTTCTGAATGTCCATCGGGGTCACGTTGGAGGGTGGGGGCCACGCGCGGATGCGGTTGTTCACCTAGAGGTTTTATGTTTAAGTTTTGAAGAGAGCTTTTGATTCTTTAGGTACTGAACTCTTAGCGGGGGAGGGCTTTTGGCAAGAGGGAGAACTAATTGTTGTCTTTTTTTCCTGTTGATAATCTGTAATGTAGTTTTATCGTGTTTTTAATAGTTTTCCACTGCTGGATCCCAAATGACAATTTTTAAAAATTTTGAAAATTCGGAAAGCTTGATCTTTTTTAGTAATTTTCATACATTTTTGACGAAACTTTTCATTGTGATTTCTTTTTTAATTGTTAGAAGGGTTTTTGAACTCAAGGTTTTTCGATCTAAAAACTGGAGAAAATACTATAAACATATTTATATTTCGCTATAGGGTGGTACGGGCTTACATTGAAAAATTTGTGTTCCTCCTGCTCAACATCCCCCCGCTAACAGTTCAGTACCACGATTTATCTCTTTATCTCTCTTTCTCTCTCGCTCTCTCTCTGTCTATCGCTCTGTTCTCTCTGTCTCTCTCGCCCTCCATCTCTTACATTCGGTCCTTGTTGATAGTCGCTAAACGTCGTGTTCTCCCTGGCATACACCCCATTCCGGAATCTCAGGCTATCATCGCCCGTATACCCATTCGTATAATTCACATAATTCCCCTCAAATGGAGCCGTTGAGGCGGGTGTTACCGGTCTGGACACGGACAGTGATCTCTGGTTTATACGGTCCCTCATCCACTCGGCTTCCGGCACTGGTCTATAGACACTTCCACCCATCAGATAGGCGCTGGGGTCGATGTTGTCATATGGTTGCGTGGGTCTCGCGCGGAAGATGTATTGTGGTTCATCGTTGGGGGAATCTTCGATGCGGCTGACGACTTGGGCACCGACGGATTTGGCGCGGTTTTGGTAGCGATTGTCCAGCCGGACTTCCGGTTCAAATGCCGATACGGGGCGCCAGCCTTGGGGTGGGACGGAAGATTCGCGTTTGAAGTAATTCTCCGTAGTCTTGGTGGTTGTGTGGATGGGAGTTTTTCGTCCATCAAAATTTGGTGTCTTTCGCCCGTCCGGAATCGGGGTCTTCCGCCCCTCACCTTGTACCGGTGTCCTCGAGTTAGCTTCACGAACTCGTTCCGACACGGTAGCTGATCTCCCCCTTTCCGTCCTTTCCCCAAATTGATCGACGTTATTCGACATTTGCTCGAGAACCGACACGGGCAGCATTGGCACCGCCCCCTTGACTGCCCCTCCCGGTGACGTCGGCGTCTTTCGGCCCTCATTCACTGGTGTCTTCCTCCCCGCCGTCGGCAGTTTGGCGGGCTTATACCCAGGTGGTGGGGGAGGCGGAGGAGGTGGAGGAGGAGCTGGAGACCCCTCCCTACCCAGCGTCGTCGGGTCAAAGTACGTCTTCTGGGCGTAGAAACCGCCCTCGATAGCCGGTCCAACAGAACCTTCCCGTGTCATCCTCGTCAATTCTTCGTTCGTCTCTTCATGTCGGCTCCTCATCGACGGCCCAACGCCCCCAATCTTTGTCGTGTAGCTCGAGAGGTCGATGTTCGATTTTTGGATGTACGAGCCGGTCTGTTCATCTGCAGATTCTTCAGCGTCTCGGCGAGGTACGGGGCTGTGGGGTTTCGGGGGGACCGGGGGTGGGGTTGGGGATTTCGCGCGGAAATTCCGTGGTTCGGGTTGTTCTTCGTGATCTTCGTCATCGGGGGCTTCGGTGACTTTCAGGGCTGGGGTCATTGGGCGTGGCGGAGGGATTGGGGGCAGTCTGGAAAAGCGGATAGCTTATTTATGCTCTAACGTCTCGGGGTCGGGCTAAGGGCTAAGCCAAGCCTAAGCCTAAGCTTAAGCCTAATCATAAGCCTAGGCCTAACCCTAACCCTAAGCCTAAGCCTAATCCTTCCTACCCAAAAACCTACCCCGGGTTGGCATTCTGCTGTTGTATGACCTCCTTGAAGCTGACGTCTTCGCTCATCGACCGCTCCTCAGTGTCAAAGTGGACTGGCCGGAAGCCAGAACTGAAATTTAGCAATACCGGAACCTTCGCACACAACTAACGGATAGGCCGGAGGGGGCAATTCCTGGGTAGGTACGGGCGAGAAGAGGACCGTCTTCACGAAGGGACTGATCTTCGAGAATTGGCGGCAAATCCACTGCCAAAAGGCTCTCAGCTTTGACCACAACCAGCAGAAGACCCGTTTCGTGTATTGCCAGGTTGTGGTGACGGCTTTCTTGGCTCCGCGCCACACCCAGTTGACGCCGCGTTTGCAGGAGGACCAGGCGCTAGAGAGCCAGCCTGAAAGTTGGGGTTTAAAGGGACTGGGAAGGGTTGGAGGGGCACTACGAGGGACACCAAGATACGGAAAACGGGGTTTTAAAATTGTGGTTTAATTTAGATAGAAATTTTCGGAGAAATGCCTTACGATATGAAATTGGACGTTGGCGCTCTCTCACTCTCACACACTCTCTCTCTCTATCTATCTATCTATCTATCTAGCTATCTATCTCTCGCTCCCTCGCTCACACTTTCTCTCTCGCTCTCTCTTTCACTCTCTCACACTCTCTCTCTCTCTATCTATCTATCTATCTATCTATCTATCTCTCGCTCCCTCGCTCACACTTTCTCTCTTGCTCTCTCTTTCACTCTCTCACGCTCTCTCTCTCACTCACTCACTCTCTCTCGCCATTGAATTTAAGAAACTGGGCAACTTCTTGCCGCTATCTCTCTTTCTCCCTCTCTCTCGCTCTCTCTCACTCTCTCAATCTCTTCATCTCTCTCTATCTCTCGCTCTCAGGCTCTCTATCTATCTGCCTTTCTCCCTCTCCTCACCATATACAGTAGCCGCAGCTCCTCTTCCCTGATGTTGCGAGGCCAGTCTCGTATGCAGATTACAGTCCCTAGCCGGAACACAATCCACACAGCATATCTTCTGCCGCATTCTCTCGATTTCTTTCTCTCTCTCCCTCTCGCATTTCCATTCCGGGTTGCCCCTATAATTACGTAAATCATAGCCACCTATTTTGTCTAGACCCCAGATTTTTGGCGAAACGCCAGGGAGGAACAAGGCTTGTTTTTCCGAGCATCTCGCTGCCGTTCCTGTTCCGGCTATCCAGCCCGGCTCTATGGAGAGCGGAAGTGGCTTTAAGAGGTAACTAGCAGCGATTTTTTGGGAAATGCGATTCCGGGGCAATTTTCGAAACCGATTACTGGGGGGGGGGCAAACTGGCCGAGATTTTTTGGGAAAGGTGGGCTTGCAAGGATTCCTTGGGATCAAGGAAACTAACAGAAATTATTAAGGGGTGGGAGGCTAGCGGTGGTTCTTTAGAAGCACCAGCTAGCAAGGGGTCTTTAGGAAAAGGTGGGTTAGCAGGCACTTTTCTTGGGAATACTCTATCTCGAGGAAATTAGCAAAGATTCTTTAGGACGGACCCAACTAGCAGAGATCCTATGGGGAAAATTCTGCCTTGCAGCTACGCTTTAGGGGATAGCAGGCTAGCGGAGATTCTTTAGGAAAGGCAGGCTAGCAGCGATTCTTTAGGAAGGAACCAACTAACACAGATTCTTTGGAATATTTACGCTTAGTAGCTACTCTTGAAGAGTGTAGCCTAGCAGAGAAACTTTAAGAAACAGCAGACTAGCAGAGATTCTTTGAGCAAATCTGGCTGGGGCAAGCTTACAGTGATCTCTTTGGAATATACCCCCAGCTCAAACCAGTTGTTAAAGGGAGTAGCCGGCGGCCCGTGGTGCTCCATCCTGGGACTAGGACTAATAGATTCCCACCCACTGCTCTTTTCTTTAGCTGCATGCTCTCTCTCTCTCTCTCTCTCTCTCTCTCGCCACCCCTTTCACGCGCAGCCCACGGGCTAATTTAATGAAAGCGGAGCATCAAACGGGTCCACCGAGAGCGAGAAGGGGGAGGCCCCCGCATACATACACATACACAGAGACCTAGTACTGGCTAGGGTCTCTACCCTACTTCGGTAAACATATATTTAATTTTTTTAGAGATTTTTACTTTATTTGTGAAGTTTAAGCAAATTCACTGTTGGCGCAGTCGGTAGAGCGTTCGACTGGCGAGTCAAGGCTCGAGGGTTCGAGTCCTCGCACCGCCAATCTTTTGCTTTTTCGGCAGAATTGCAGTCTCATGGTTGTTTTGCCCATTTAAAGGACCATTGAAGGCAGGAGGCCAGGAGTTGGGTCGGTTTCTAGCAATTTTTCTCTCGGTTTAGGCATAAAACGGAGCGTTTGTAGTGCAAATCTGGTTCATCCAGGAGAGAATTCAACTCTGAACAAATAGGTTTTCCAACAGCTTTTTAGCGAATGGTATGAAGTAAAATCAGCTTTGAACAATATTTCCTAGATAAAGCTAGAAAACCTTAGATTTTTTTATCAGTCCTTTAAATTGTAACATATTTTCAAACTATAATTCGTTAAAACGAATTTGATTTTCAATTATTTTTGCTTAATTCCGGGCTTCGGTGGCTAATATACGCATTAATAGACACAGAACTCCCCTGGCAAACATTTTTCTCAAGTGGAATTTCAAAATCCCGATTGTTGGAATGCCGAATTTTCATTATAGCTAATTTTTATAATGCCGAATTACGCCGAAAATCGTCATCTTTAAATGCGATATTACGCGGCCGACGGCATAAATCCAGGCCATCCCCCAAATGCACTAGAAAAAAAAGAAACAGAGCCCCGGGATAGCTAATTGTTTAGACGGGGGCAGGCTTCTCCGCCTCACCCTGCTCCATGGTTTTTGCAGGTAATTTCCCAGGTCGTCTACCTCCCCTTTCTCCTGAAGGAGAAGCTGCCGAGAATCCAATCAAAGCCATGACACGAAGAGGGCCTCTCAGGATAGATGATCCAATCCATTTAAAAAATTGGGGAGGCGAGGGGGAAGAGCTCTTCAACCCCGTCTGGGTGGCCAACCTATGCTGTCTCTAAAGGGCCGTTCGAGGCAGGTGTACGAATTTCATTGCGTAATGGATCGGGTAGTCGGGGCGATTGCCAAAAATTCATAGACTTGCCTTGTCTGTCCCTTTAGAGCCCTTGAATTTGAGAATCTAGGCATTTCCCTGCCCTCTCTCCTTCTTCTTTTTTTTTTTAACTTCTCTCTCTCTCTTTCCCCCTCTCTCTCTCTCTCTTTTTTTTTCTTTTTACAAAAAACACTTTTTTATAATATTTTAAATAATATACTTTAGCCAAGGTTCCTCAGAAAACTCTGATAGCTTGCCTACGGCCAGGAACGTACGATTTTTGAAGTATTTGAAAATTAATTTGCACCTGCTATTTCTATAGTTCCCTTTTGCGACATTTCGGGGGTAGTAGGCCACCTAATTGGATTCATTGATCGTGCCAGAGAGAGAGAGAGAGAGAGAGAGAGAGAGAGAGCCTATGGCCCCCCTATTAATTGGGTCCTCCCCCCATTCCATCACCATTTCAGGGTCCTTCAGGCTACTGCCTTGTCCCCGCCTTTGTTGAGCGTATTCGGGGGTGTGGAACGGAATTTTGGGGAGGTGAAAAAGTTCTCGTGCTCCGCGGGTGAGATCTGGATCTTGAGCTAAATAGGTATTGACAGTACTGTCAATAGTAGCACCCCGGAAACATGCCTCATTTGGCCCGGTTTTCTTTGCATTTTCGGGCTTAAATTGGGTTAAATTTTTAGTCTACGATGCGTTAAATTTCTTTTTTCTTTTAAGTATTCAAATCCTAAGCCTGAGCCTAAGCCTAATTTCAAGTCTAAGCCTAAGCCAAGTATAATCCTAAACCTAAGCCCAGCTTAAACGCAAGCCCAAGCCAAACCTTAAGCCCAATCACCCAAACCTAATTTTTCCTAATTCAGCCATTATCTAGGATGTGAAGGGGGGTTTTGTGAGATGAGAGCTCTCTCTCCCTCGTGCTATGGCTTGCCGTAGAAGGACCTCCCCCTCCCCCTCCTCCTGGCGGTGGATTCGATTTCCTCCTCGTCCACAGGAGAAGCAGAAGAAGAAGAAGAAGAAGCCGTAGGCAGTAGGCAGGAGGAGGAGCTCGCAAAAATGAAAATCCGCCCGACGACCACCTAGCCAAAGCCCCCTCCCCCCATTCGGGGCTCGCAAACATCGTTTATCCGGGACTCCCCTCCTGGCCGAGTCTCCTCTACATACTTGACCGCCGTCAACTACAGATGAGCAAAAGGCCTTTTGGACTGACTTATCTCGTTTTTTTTATTACGATCACATTACTTTCCGCATGGATATTTGCTTGTCACTCTTCTTTCCGAAAAATCTCCGCCAAACAAAGAATATCTGCTAGTTATCGAGATGTCCCAAACACGAGCCATTCGGCTTTTCCAAAGGTCGCACCGCAGGGAAAAAAATAGGACCTCAAAGCAGATGCAATAACTTTAAGGGGATCAGGAAAGCCCAGGTAATGTAGTATAAAACTGTTTTTTTTCTAAAATTGGCATAAACCTTCTCTGTTCCGTCCTGCTCTTGGTTGACGAGATTTTGGCCGTCGGTTTTTTTTACGGTCGGTATTTTCGCTGCCGAAACACGGGCTGTCGGGATTTTGGCTTTCGGGGTTTTAGCTGTCGGGATTCTGGTTGTCAGTATTTTCGCTGTCGAAATACCGGCTGCCGGAATTTTAGCTGTCGGGGATTCTGGTTGTCGGTGTTTTAGGCGTCGGGATTTTGACTGTCAGGGTTTTAGCTTTTGAGATTCTGGCTGTCGGGATTCTTGCTGTGGGGATCATGCATGTCGGGATTTTGGTTTCGGGCTTCTGACTGTCAGTATTCTGTTTGTCGGCATTTTGCCGGTTTTTCGGCATGTTGGACACGTAAAAATAGCCCTCACCCAAGGTGTTTTATAGCCCACAGACACCCCTTAGTGAATTCGACGCGGGGTTGCCCGGTGTATGTCTCTCTCTCTCTCTCTCTCTCTCTCTCTCTCTCTCTCTGTCTGTCGGTGTGTGTTGAAGGCGGAAATGGGAGGTTGAGATTCGAGACTTTTTGGGGTTGGTGGGCCCTCTGCTTTGGGCCCTTACCCCTGGCAGGGGCCCTAGCCAAATCCCGGCTCCACGGCCCACCACACTCCCACGCTTATTTTGGGGCCCGTGGCATGGCCGGTCGGGCCGCCACCTGGGCCGGCCACCTCATTATTCAAGCTTTATCCGACTTCCGGAAAATTACATTGCGTCTTCTATAATGATAAAATTTTTTATTATTACTTTTATTACGAAAATTGAGGCATAGAATTTTTCATTATTACTATTGTGGGGAGATTTTTGTCGATTTAAAAATTTTAATTTCAAAAAATGTGGCCAATTTTTCCGAGAATTTTTAAAGGCTAAACAGATAGCATTTCATATTTTTCAATGTATTTAAAAATCACGTTTTTTAGCAGCCCAAGGGCATATTTTTGGGCTTATGCTTGAGGCGCGACGAAACAAGAGCCGCGTCGGGTTTTGCGAGAGCCTTGAGCCATTCTCTCTCCCTCTCTCCTCCCTATCTCTCTCTGTCTCTCTCTCTCTCTCTCATACTCACAACCCCGACGGGCATTACAGCATTGTTAGCCTGTGAAGAGGCGCGCCCCGGGAGTGACGAGTCAATTGGATCAAGCGGAAAAACTCATTGATGAAAGGCGCTTTTTCAGACGTAATTAGGTTCGGAAAATAGAGGCTAAGACCAATTTCAAAGCAGGCTAACATCGATCATTAAAGATTCGGGCTTGACATAAAATGAAGAGAGACAGGGCAAGCTAGCAGAGATTATTTGGGAACCCATGACCCATAGCAGAAATTATGTAGCAGTTGGCAGGGATTGTTAGAATTTGTGCCAACTTTTCTAGGCAAGCTAGCAGAGATCCTTTATGGCCTAAATCCCTCCATACTTCGAATCTTCCCAACTAATTTTTTTCTTTGTGCTTTTACCCGGCTAAAGGCCAAGGGGCGAGCCAAGATTTTGGGTAATTTTGCAGGCGATAGAGGGAGAGCGAGAGAGCGAGAGAGAGAGAGAGAGAGCGAGAGAGAAAACGGCAACGATTTCTTCTCTTTACACCCTGCACTCGGTGAGGCTGCCATGGCATGGCATGGGTATCCGGGTGAAAAGGATTGCTAATTTCCGGTGGAGAATAATTGGATACAGGAAAGTAGGAGATTTTTAGCCAAGTATCGGTCTAATGAGTGGGTAAATTTAGCACAGGGAAATTTTGTGCCAATTTGACTAATTTTTGTTTTGAAAATCGAAAAGCTTAGAATGCGCCTATGACCTTTGAGACTCGATGCATTAATAGAGCGCCTCCAGCGGGTAACTATTGCCTGTAACGCCCCCGTTAACTCCTACCTTAATGCTTAGCAAAACTTACTTGAATAGGAAGTAGAAAAAGTAGAGGAGGGTGAGAAATCCTTGGTGGATGGTGGCGCATGCCTTGCCGATCATCCTCAACGGCACCCCGCGCCTAAATAGTAGATCGTTTTTAGAGGGACAGTGGTCAAAAATCGGCATTGTCTTGGCCAACCTTAAGCCAAGCCTAAGCTCAAGCCCAACCTAAGCATAAGCCGAAGCCTAAGCCTAAGCTAAGCTAAGCATGCGCCGAAGCCTAAGCCTAAGCCAAGCGAAGCATAAGCAGAAACCTAAGCCTATTCCTCAGCTAGGCCTAAGCCTAAGCATACCCAGCTTTAAATGCAGCACGACAAAATACAAAGAATAAAACAAACCCAGATTGTCCTGCTGACCAGCCGCCGATGCCAGGTGGGCCCTCGTTTTGCGGGT